TTCTCTCCCTGCCTCTCTCCAAAAGACAGAGCCGGATACTTCTGGGCAGCCTCACCCAGCAGAGGTCTGCGCTGGCTCAGCGCAGGGGCCTGCACCCGCAGCCCTGTGAGGGACGGGGCCTCCGATGCTGAGCAAACTGCAGCACGACGCCAGCACGGAGGGCAAGAGATACAGCCGCGAGCTTGGGCTAACAGCTTTGGTATGGCTACGCTCAGGTGTGCTTTTATAGCCAAGGCGAAGGGCGAGGGCAGCACGCAGCTAAAAGGCTGTCAGGGATAGCAATAGGCAACCTGTTTCCCCCCTGGTTGCAAATATGGGATGTGGATTTGCTCCTGAGCATCCAACCCTTAATGCCCACCTGGACTTCACTGTTCCTCAGGACGATGCATCTCGTTGTTGGGTGATGCTCGAGGTCAGTGGATGGGAGCAGGGCCCCGGGTCCAGCAATACCTGTAATGCACAAAGTAGCCAACTACATAGCAATGACTTAATTCAGGCATCTGCTCTTCTTCCGTGCCGTTGGCGTAGGTACCCGCGTTTATGGTTTTGCTGGTGTGCAGACAATGAGATTACGCGTGCAGCCTCCCAGCCAAGACCTCTGGCTGCCGCTGACAATTGATGGATTCCTCTCCGACGTTCACTCGTCCCGGCAGACGTCCATTTAGACAGGCTTGCAAACACCTTCCTGGAAACAGCAGGTCGTGCCAGGCACCTGCAGGCGTTTGCTCAGTATCATTTTGGATATTTTGTGGGATATCTGGCACGCTGGGGTCTGTCTGCCCAAGCCTCTCCTGTCTGCAAACAGACAAGCTCTGTGCCCCTGGAGAGGCACCGTGGTCCTCCACGAGGCAGGTTCCCTCAGCCAAGTCCCAGGCACCAGTGAAGCCAAAGGATTTCTTCCATCGCCTTATAGATTTAGCACTTGCATCTTGATTTTGGGCCTGTTATGGGGAGCAGCACATTGGGGCTCATCAGCTACCAGAGATGGCTCGTGTATGCCCATGTGCTCGGTGACTCTGTGTTGACCTACCTCCGCTTTCACTGATATGATGGGGCTCGGGGCAAGAGGGCAGGGATGCGCAGCTGTGGAAATGAGTTTTCTCCAGGAGGTTTAATAGCTGGCCTTGACTTAGGGGGAAGAGCCAGGTTTGCTGAATTTTTATCCTGCTAATTCTCTGTCTCGGTGCTGGGAATCCTCTAGGTGGAGGTAGGCTGGATGTGTCGAGAGACCCTGAGCTTCCCCTTTGGGTGGGCTGGTAGAGGGCAGAGTGGGTGCTGTACAGTTCATGGTTGTCCCCAGCCCTGGGACCTGTGTGGCCGCCAGGTGCTCCCGGCAGCGCCGCCACCGTTTAGCAGAGGGCCGGGACCTGTGTTCTTTGGCTGCAGCTGTGTGGTGCGGCAGGTGGGGTTTCGTGTGTTTTATCTGATTGAAACCTTTCACGTACCTGTCAGAGCCAAGTCCCAGAAGAATAGCTTTCCTTGCCTGGAGGGGGGGAGGAGGGGGCATAGAAAACCCAGTAAAAACTGCCCCTATGCACCTGTACCTCCTTGCTTGCACCAAGCTGGCCGCTTTCACCATGAGGCAGCCAATCTTTGGAAGGTGTCCAGGAGCCTAGTGTAATATTTTGGCAGCTGAACATTGCTTTGTAAAGGCAGCAAAATTACAGAAAATTTAGAGCACGGGGAGATCATCTTTAAGTGAAGTGTTTTCCTTAAGCTGTACCTAAAGATAGGAGCAAGGAGGGTTGTGAATCTGAATTTAACTATATGTACGAGTCTTCCCAAGACGGTGTCAAGAGCAGCATGTTGGTGTGAATTATACCCCAAGTGCAAGCGTCCTACTTTGGTCGGTGCCCAAAGCCCGCCGTTATTAATGGGAAGGCTCGTTATTGACTTTAGTGGGCATCTGGAAGACTTTTAAGAACTGACAGCAGGAGCAAAACAGTTGCCAGAGCGCATTACCTCGATGGTCTGTTGAGCAAGGGCGAAGGCAGCGGGGCCGTGAGATGCAGAGCTGCGCCCATCCTGGCCCAGGGCCCCATGCAGCCCAACCCAGGGAGCTCCTTCCCACGCATGGGCTTGCCAGGGCGGCCGGTGCCTTCGGTGCAGATGCCGCAGCCTGCCTTCTCCGAATGTCACGTCTCTAAACCCCATTTGTTTTCCTCCTTCGCGAAGGCTCACATGGCAGCGGTTTTCCATCACCTGCTCGGATGGCATTTAACAGCCTCCCTGACATCCCATGGCACATTCCCCAGGCAGGACACGCGCCGCAGGCTGTGCGCATCCTGCCTTACACCAGTCTTGCTGTGCAGGCCAGGGCAGCCAGCGCTGGGGACGTCCTCAGTCCCCCAGCCTTGCCGATGTCCCCAGCTCCGCGGAGGCAATCCGTCGGTTTGCTTGAGCAAAATCGCTTGAGTAAAATCGCTTGCGCTCGCCGGCATTTGCAGCATCTGTAAAGGTCAGGAAGAGGAGAGAGAGCTGTCTCTCCCTCCTGGGAGCCACCTATTTTTTCTTGGTTTTTTTTCCCTCTCCTCCGCTCATAAACACCAAGCTGCTCTGCAAACCCGGCTGGTTTTGCTACGAGGTTTTGCAGCTGGAAGTGTGTGCAGCCGTCCTTTCCTCAGCTCCATCCTTGCTGTTGCAGGGCTCCAGCATGGCTTTTGGGGTGCAGAGGGTCTGGTGTGTAACCCCACTAGAGCCAGTGTTGGGGCAGGGGTTTTCTGTTGTTTTGCAGGCGCTGCCCTTGCCCGCGCGGCAAAATTTCTATTGTGTTTGGGTTGCCCTCGCCACGGTGATTCATTGCCTCGGCCAAGGCAGAGCGTTTCCTCCCCTCCCGCAGCGTGATGTGCAAGTTTTTGCTCCTGCAGGAAGCAGCCAGAGCAAGTCCTGGAGCCATCGCTCCGGGACCTGGCCCCGTGGTCCCAGCATCCAGCCACCCTCCAGCCTGCTGACCCAAATGTTTTTTAACCCTTCAGTTTCAGGGAAGGGGAAAGCAAGCCGCAGAAAGCTTTACCAGCTCGGATGGAGAACGACCGTGTCTTTGGTGACCTGTGGAGGAAGAGCAACATGCCTGTGGTCCTGAACAACCCCTACTCCGAAGCAGAGCAGGTAAGAGCCTGTGGCTCGTGCTGCTTTGGTTGGGAGGGGGGCCTGGGGGGGACGTGACCTGTCCTGGTGGGCTCTCACACCACCGAGAACCTGCAAGGGCTACATGCACTACCCTAAAGACCTTCGAGCCCAAGAGCTGGAGTTGATGGGGCGTAGAGCCCGTTTGGTCCAGAAGCCGAATTCCCCGTGATTTGGGCAGGGTAGAGGTCACTGGAGAATGATGCCCTTCATCCAAGGGGCCAGAGACGGATGGGAGCGTGGCCAGGGACCAGGGCTCTGAAACCTCCCTCGGGACTGTCATCCCTTTTCATAGCAAAAAGCCGAGTTGCATCATTAAAAGTCGTTTTGACTCAGTAGAGCGCTGCAGATAATACGTTGTATGGCGCCTTTTCATCTCCTCACACTCCACAGACACAAATTCTCAGGCTTCCTTGCCAAAAGTGGATTAATTCCACATTTGTAGCAAAGCCAGAGACGTAAGGCAGACCCTGCCAGGCCAGAAAGATCACCTCGGGGAAAACATGACGTGCGTGAGCACTGCCAAACCTCTTCGGGCAAACGTGTCTCCCTGATGGGATTAACCAGCAGCAGGGCAGGACACGGGGGACCGGACTGGGGACGGTTGGTCTCCTTGCCCCACCATATTTATCAGGGTGACACAGTAAGGACTGCTTGCCAAGGGAGGGGAGAAAAGCGATTTAGTGGTCACTAAATGAAGACTTCCAAGAAAATCAGTGTTCCCTCAGTTCAGAAATGGCCTCAGCAGATACCCTTGGCTGATGCCTCTTCCCAGCTCCAACGAGCTGGAATACAATGTTCCTTGCTGACATCTCTGTGGTCAGCATGTGGCCAGGTGTCACTCATGGGGTGGTTGACACCCAGATGTTGAGCCTGGCCTTGATACCCAGCAGTGTCCAGCAGCACCTCCCCGGCCATGGCTCTGCCAGTGGACGTTTTCCCATTTCGTGGGCATTTTGCAAGATGCGAAGCCAGAAGCAGGGGGTGAGGTCACCCGAGGTGGCCTGGCCTCTTTGTGCCCATGGAGGTGCCATGGTCTTGGCTGCGGTGGTTTAATTCTGCCTCATCCCCCGTGTGCCAGAAGCACCGCTGTTTCCCCTGGGGCTGATGCACATGTAGGGCGGCTGAGATCCTCCTGATCACGCCAGGCTCACCGCATGGTCTTAACCAACCTGGTTGGGTGCTTAGATGCAGTTGGGGGCAAATTCCATCCTCCCCTCGTCTCGCCACAGATTGCGGACGGGTCTCCCAGCGGCATAGACAACCTTACGGCGGGTATCGTGCCATATCAGCACTGATAAATGGGTGCATCCAAGAGCTGCGACATGCTTTGCTCAGCCGCTGGGGGGATGTCCCTTGGCAGCCCTGCGTCCCGCTGCGTGGTTAATGCACTGTGGCAGGCATCTGGAGCCCGTCTCGCCCAAGGACAGGTCACTGCTCTGCTCCCTTTGCCCCAGCTCGGGAAAGCCGCCGTCTTTCTGCCTCCTTTGCTAAGCTCCTTGCATGTACGTGTCTGTTACCATAAGCACTTTATAACCTTCTGTGTTCAGAGCTTAATTTCTCTCCATGTTAGGGCTGCCAAAACCCCCAGTCTTAAGCTGCTATTAAACTCTTTAATATTTTTTTTTCCCCACTAGATGTGCAGCTTTCTTTTTATCCTTCTTATCCCCAGATCACTATGCCTGCTTTTCTGGAGGCAGTTTGGTTTTCCCCCCATGTTCCCCGCAGCCGTTCAAGGCAACTGAACTTCTTTGCAAGCTGCAATAAATACTATTAACACAGGGGCAAGTCAAGCCAAGTGTGAGCTTCTTATACACGTTGTTCTTTAGAGCAGGATTTGATGGATTCACTTGGCCAGGTGGGGAATGCTCACTGAGGCTTGTAATAAGGTGCCGAAAGACCCGTTGGGCATCGATCCTTATCCGTCTTCTGGTTTGGTTTTTTTTTTTTTTTTTGCAAAATCACGCAGTGTGTTTGGCTTGTTTCCCAGGAGCCCAATCCCCCCAGCCCTAATCCTGACCGATGGCAAGATGCTGTAGCTGCACCACCAGGTCCTGTGTGAGTCATATTTCAGCCCATACAAATGGATTTGTTAGGAGCTCCAGGGGGAGTGGGGGGAGTGCGCATCCCCGTAGCCAGCAGGGGAAGGGAGTCACACCAACTCTGCGCTTGCAAGGATGATTTACAGCTTTATAAAAGCGAAAAACACACTTTCAGCTAGCAGGGTTAATGCAGCCTGGAAGGAAATGTCAGCACGCCAATATATCTGTGACCTGGGCTAATGCCGCAAACCTCGGCCTCCCCTTGTTGATGCATTCCAGCAGGGCAATATATGCCACCATCGCAGGGACTCCCGAAGTCCAGCTGGGAGGCAGTAGGAAGGCTGCGGACCTGTAGAGCCCCCTGGGGTCTGCAAAAGGGGAGATGGGCCCTGCTGTTCCAGCCCCAAGAAGCGCCCAGGGCCGGGTGCATTCCTCCTCTGCCCCTGTAAGAGCCGCAGACAGCTTGCAAGCTGCGCGCTGCCGATAAGTGCCAGCACGCGCCCTTGTAAAAGGTGTTTGCATAATGCCTGCACACCCCGACTGCTCCGCCAGTCTCTCCGCTTGTCCTGCTCTTGAGTCACTAATATCCCAGCTGCCTAATTAAAACATGAAAGGATCTCGCCCAACCTCCCTGACAGAACCAGGGGGAATATTTGGCTTCAGCTTTGCCATGCAGGGAAGGCACACGCACACACACATGCACGCACACACACAGAGCTCTTTCCCGGGCTTTTTGGGGCGTTGCTTTCTCCACAGCCGCTCTACGATGCGGTTGCCAGACCTGGCACCTCTGCTTCTTGTAGGTGGTGTTGCCTTGGCTGCTCCAAGCCGACTGGCACCCCGGCGCTTCGGCATGCCTCTGCACCGTGGCCCTCTTTCAGCAAAGAGCCAAACCTTGCCACGGCCTGCGGGGAAAAGGCCGAAAGGAAAAGGAGCAGCCTTGAGAGAGGTTTCAGGTAGAACATCTGTAAGCAGATGTTTAGCAGCCATTCTCCACCAGCTTGGGCCATCAGCTTGCTCGCCCCAAGGATGGGGTCATTGCTACGTCTGGATTCATGAACGCTCTTGGGCCATACCTGCTCTAGCAAGGTGGTGCTCAGCAGCTCAGCTCCTAAGCTGCACTGAATGTCAGCAAATCAAAACTCAGAATAAAAAAGTGGTGACGGATACAACTGGTGCTTTCTGTTTGGTACTTCCACTTTCTGTCTGGCAGGGGGAGGTTACAGGTGAGGATTGGGTTGATTTGCATTTTTGAGCTGCAGTTTTCAGCTACGTTTTACCGATCTCACAGAGCTGCTCTGAGTCGCCACACTCAGAAGGAAGGTGGCAGATTATCCCCCGTGGTCCTAAGGGTGGCCCAGGTTGGTTCAGCGAGCATGGGATGCTGTTAGTGGCTCAGGAATGGTTTAATTCTCTTGAAAGAGTAAAACAAGCTGGAAAAAAATGACCAGGAACCACCACTGCCGTAATTCAGCTCAGATTCCCCAAAACTGAAAAAAAACCCACCCAAACCACCCTTAAAAATAGTGCTTTTCCAGGGCTGTGTTTAGGAGGTTCTTTTTATTTACTACTGGTTTTGAGCTCTATGTGAAGTCTTAGATTTGTTTTCTCAAGCACGCAAAGGGGAACCTGAGATCTGGCTTCAGGGGCTGGGACTTCAAAAGGCTTTTTGGGAAGATCACGGGATTTGTGGCATGAGGAATGTGGCAGAGACCCGTGACAGCATCACCTGAGGGCGTGCAGAGAGTGGCTTTTGGAAACTGGGGGGGTAAAGCTCTCCCTTCCCCTCCACCCTCTGTCCCTTGCTGCCAGCCTATGCTTTCAGTGCATGGTACTATGCTGTGAGCCACAGGTCGCTTCACAGCAAAATCCCTGTTTTCTGGGGAAAAAAAGCATGGAGCATAAGGTAAAAACAAGGACTGGGCAAAAAATTATGGCCAACATTGCCACCGGGGCAGTGCAGTCATGTCTGCTCAGCCCAGGCATCGGTCTCGCAATCAATCAGGCATCCATCTCCCTCTGCTTCGGAAAAGCAGAGCAATCCCCTGTCTGGCAAAGTTGGAATGAGTTAGATCTGGAGCCGCAAATGCTTTTGCCATCCCTGTGGCCCCTGTTGCTTTCCCTCCTCAGTTTGCTCATCAGCAAAAGTGTTTATTCTGAAACAAGAGCTTCTCCCAGCGTGTGCTGGCTTTTCTTCGGTTGGTCTGTCAGTAATGCTGGGTTTGTACTATGGCCGCTAGTCCATGGGTTGCAAACCATGACCTTAGCCCAGAACCACCAAAAAGGAGGGTGAGACTCCGCACAGCCCTGCTGAAGGCAGTGCCATCTTTAAAAAAACCTTGGAGATGGATTAGAAAGGGACAGAAGCTATGGGGTTCATGTAGGAAGGCTACTTCAAAACTCGGTCCGAGTCCAGCTCTACTTTGCAGAGAAGCAAGCCTTTAAGCAGTGCCAAATATAAGCAGGTTTTGACAGGACACTCTGGTGGGGGACCGAGTGTCCCCTTGAAACCTGCAGCGACACTGTTGGGGTTGCAGCGACTGAGTTATACCCTCCCATAAGATCTGAGTCCTAGAAGCAATGTCTCCGCTTCCCAGGGCCACAGCAGATCTCTCTGTCCCATGGTACACTGGCAGGCACTGAGTGCTCTTTAAGTTTTTAAGTGCTTGGGGCGAATACGTAGAAATACAAGATATTTGCAGTGAAAACGTGCAAATGCACACTTGCAGCCGGCTCTTGCCGAAACGAGCTCTCTGCCGGCTGAGGCTCTGCCTTACGTCGGCGTATAACCCAAGATGTGCTGGATGAGCCCACCTCGACGCAGGGCATTGGGGGGGGGCTGGAGATTCAGAGCTGAGACTGAAGTGATCCAACTATGCATGATTCAGCAGCCCTCCCACTTGTGTAATTTATCCATCCTCATTGCTATGATCTTCCAGCATTGCCATCAAAGGAGATGTGCCTTTGGCTCGCTCGGAGGAGCAATCGGCTGCTAATTCTATCTCACAGCGCTCGTATGGGTGAGGCAGAGCTTGGCACATGCAAACCTGAGCAGGTGATGCTCCTTAAAAAGAAACATCCAATATATTTTAGAGAGGTAAGTCTTCCACTGGGAAACTTGAACGCAACATTCTCCTAAATCACTTCTCTCTGTTTTTTAACTTCTCTTCTACAGGCTTGGCTGCTCTGTAGGTAGAGATGACTTCTCAATTGCATTAAGAGTTGGTTGTTCCATTGTAGGGTCCCAAATGTTGCCAATATTTGGATCATATACCTTGTCTCGCCATATCATCGCTAGGATTTAAGCACAGGCATCCACCAATACAAGATACTGCTTGTTGTTGTGGTCTTTTTCCTGTATCTTGTTGATGAAATATTTAACCTTGTGCTGGGTCTTCACTGTTGTTCAGCCACTGCCATCTGGGCGGCAGTCCCCAACTAAGAACACGGTGAATGGAAGCCCTTCCAAATGCCCACGGTTCGTCAAAATCAAGAACTGGGAGACGGGCTCCGTGCTTCACGACACGCTGCACCTCAAGACGGCGATGGTGAGTGGGCTTGATAGGACTGGCCGAAAGTTGTCTAAGAGTAATTGAGTGAATCACAGGGTTTCCAAGGTGGCTTCAGCTGGAAATGCAGAACTAGATGAATTCAGGCCAGTCTTCTTGTTTCCGGTGGTATCTGAATTTCAAACCTCTGGGGAGAGGGAAGCCTATCTGGGATAAATCAGGAAAAATATTTGACTTTATGCCAATCTGGGATAAGAATCTAGTGCCTCCCAGTTGTCCATATCAGGTGGGACAGGAGATGGCTGCACATGCTTGAGCTGTCTTACACAACATTACCAATAGGTGTGAAAACAAATAAGGTGGAAACGTTTGTCAAAGATGCCACCAACTTCTGCACAGCTGATTGTTGGCTTCCCCAGCCCAGCTCATGTAACCCAAAATACTGCGGTAACCCACAATGCGCGTGTCTCCTTCTGTCTCCTCAGGCCACCGCGTGCACTGAGCAGATCTGCATGGGCTCAGTGATGACACCTAGCCAGCACGTCCGCAAGTCAGAAGATACCAGGACAAAAGAGGAGGTGCTCCTCTTGGCTAAGGACTTCATTGACCAGTACTACTCCTCCATAAAGAGGTAAGTATTGGCCAGAGAAGGTCTCAGGCCCTGGCTGCTGCATATGCCAAGATGTCACATACGATCTGATCTTTCACACTTGCAAGTCATAGAATCATAGACTCGTTTAGGTTGGAAAAGCCCTTTAAGATCCTCAAGCCCAACCGTTCCCCTAACCCTGCCATCCCACCACTAAACCCTGGCCCTAAGCACCTCGGCTGCCCGACTTTTAAATACCCCCATGGATGGGGACTCGACCTCTTCCCTGGGCAGCCTAGGGTGAGGCTGTGGTGCTCCACATTTGGCTGCATCTTTGGGGGAGTTTCATTCCTAGCATGCATTGTGTGCCTCTCTGCAAATTACTGACCCCTCCCGTTTGCACTTGGGCATCTGTTATCCGAAAGCACACACACGTGTGTGTGTAAATGTGCACACGTGTGCCTAAGAAAGAACTCGTGCCCAGGTGGAGAGCAGCGTGATCCCCAGCTCTCCACCGGGGTTGGTGACTGCCATCTCCTCCGTTCCCCCCCACGTGCAGATCTGGCTCCAAGGCGCACATGGAAAGGCTGGATGAAGTGACCAAGGAGATTGAAGCCACTGATACCTACCAGCTGCGGGACACAGAGCTGATCTATGGAGCCAAGCATGCCTGGAGAAATGCAGCCCGCTGTGTGGGCAGGATTCAGTGGTCCAAGCTGCAGGTGAGCACCAGCACAGCTGGTTGCCTGCCAGAGGGTGCACTGGAGTTTTGGAGAGGCAAAACTTGCTCTTCAAATACCTGGGGAAGCACAGCAGGGGTGCAGCTGGGGGTGCTCAGCCTGCAGCAGCTACGCTCTCCTTCACAGCTTTGGGGGTGCTCAGGCTGGGAAGTCAGCAGGAGCTGGAAAAGCTCCTGTGGGGTAGGTGTAGCCAAGGTGTCTGTGTGTGAAATGGGGCCAACTGGAACCTGGTGCACTGGAGAAGATTTTTTCCAAAATCAGATACTGCTACAACATCTTACACGATGCTTCCAAAACTCCATTGCTCTGCCTGGAGAGAGGCAGCAGGACACGCTCATGCATGGTACAGAGATACTATGGCAGGAGAAGATCTGGCTCAGTGCCCTTTTGACTGGCTGAGTTAGTGATCTCTAGCGGAATCCCTTGGTACGGAGACAATGTCTCCCTCTGTAACCTGGAGCACAGCTCGAGTGCTGCTGAGCAATTCTGGTGGCTGCTTTGCAAAGGGTATAGGCACTGCCTGGGGCCAAGGAGGCTGGGCCTCCTTCACTCCCAGTTCAGCCTTCAGCTCTTCTCTTCTGCTCTTTCTTTTGGCATATCTGAACCTTGGGAGGAGCTGTTTCTGCAAGAAGTTGTCTTCAAGTCTCCTGTTGACCCTCTTTCCTTGTTTCCCCATTCTTTTGTAGATGCCTTATCCCTGGCAACATTCCAGGCCAGGTTGGATGGGGCTCTGAGCAATCTGATCTGGTTGAAGATGTCCCTGCTGGCTGCAAGGGGGTTGGACTGGGTGACCTTTAAAGGTCCCTTCCAACCCAAACCATTTTACGATTCTGTGATTCCCCATCCTCTCAGTGGATCTCAGGCCTGACTGATACTTGTCCTATTTCAGCTTTGAGTCTTGATCTGGAAGAGACAGAGAGCAGAAACCAAAACTGTTGATGGCTAAGCCAGGAACGGCAGCAGGCTGAGAGCGCTGGATTGAGGAGGTTTTTGCCTGAGCAGCAGCAGACTCACCTCTCCAAAGCAGAAGAGGCAGCTGGATTAGACATCCACATGTTGTAAAGGCAGGGAATACATAATTATGGAGCTTTAGATACCTAACAAGTCATGGTGGCCTCTAGAGCTTTCTCTGTGCTGTGTTCCTTCTGCTTGGCTCTGCCGTAGGAGTTGGAGCATCCTGTAGCATCACCACATTTGCTTCCACTGTTTCAGGTGTTTGATGCCCGTGACTGCACCACAGCCCACGGAATGTTCAATTATATCTGCAACCACATCAAATACGCCACCAACAAAGGAAACCTCAGGTGAGCCACCGGGAAGTCACCAGGGTTTGTATCCAAAGGCATCTTGGATGGGTGTCAACCCAGCTCTGGGCCTTGCTGACGTTGTCTCCTTTAGCAGCCGCTATACAACGGGGTGGTTGTAGCCAGCACATGTCCTGGGGAGTGTTAGAGGGAACTGATACCAGGGGAAGGTGGGCTGCTGGTCCAAGTATATCTCTTCTCTCTGTAGGACCTCAATTTTTTTCCCAATTATTTCTCCTTTGCTATATTCTGCATCAAATACCCCAGGTTAGCAGCCAGCTTCTGCCTGGAGCTGAATTGCTGGAAACATCCCAAATTCCAGAGCTGGAGTGCGCTTGGCCATGACTTCTTCTGCTGAAGGAAATATAATGCAGTACCATGGGCTGCATCAGGAGAAGCGTGGCCAGCAGGTCAAGGGAGGTGATTCTGCCCCTCTGCTCTGCGCTGGTGAGACCTCACCTGGAGCCCTGCGTCCAGCTCTGGAGCCCTCAGCACAAGAAGGACATGGACCTGTTGGAGTGGGTCCAGAGGAGGGCTACTAAAATGATCCAAGGGCGGGAGCAGCTCTCTTATGGGGACAGGCTGGGAGAGTTGGGCTTGTTCAGCCTGGAGAAGAGGAGGCTGAGGGGAGACCTGATTGCAGCCTTTCCGTGCTTAAAGGGGGCCTATAGGAAAGATGGGGACAGACTTTTTAGCAGTGCCAGCTGTGACAGGACAAGGGGTAATGGTTTTAAACTAAACCAGGGTAGGTTTAGACTGGGTATAAGGAAGAAATTCTTTACAATGAGGGTGGTGAAACACTGGAACGGGTTGCCCGGAGAGGTAGTGGAGGCCCCATCCCTGGAAACATCCAAGGCCAGGCTGGACGGGGCTGTGAGCAACCTGATCTGGTTAGCAATGTCCCTGCTCCCTGCAGGGGGGTTGGACTGGATGACCTCTAGGGGTCCCTTCCAACCCAAAACATTCTATGATTCTGTGATAATAAATGTTTGGGGCTTGTCCGAGGCACAAGCAGAGGTGGTGCGCAGGGCAGTGGCAGGCAGGGCCAGCCCCTTTCCCCTGCAACACTTTGCTGTTCCTCTTGATAAGCCCATCCTGTGCCCTTGCAACATCCTCGGCATTGACCAGCACTGCCTCTTCCTTCCAGATCTGCTATTACCATCTTCCCACAGCGGACGGACAGCAAGCATGACTTTCGCATCTGGAATGCCCAGCTCATCCGCTACGCTGGCTACAAGCAGCCCGATGGCACTATCCTGGGTGACCCCGCAAACGTGGAGCTGACAGAGGTACTGGCTGAAGCCATCTTTCCCGGGGACCATGGGCATCGGGCCGGTGGGGGCCTGCAGAAGCTCTGACCATCCCAGGGGTGAGAAGCATGCTGAGTCGAGCAGAGTCAAGCAGGGTTTATCGCACCCACTTGCAGTGCCACGAAGTGAATCTGGATTTGTCTCACCCTCGGATATTTTCCCAGGAATAAAAGCTGTTTCCACGCATGCAGGAGTTGGCCGTAGCTTCAGACCCGTGCACTGAAAGACTCTCAGCTCATTTTGCTTTCGCTGAGAAGGGGTCACTTAGCGGTGCTGAGGGAATTGCTGGAGGAGGACGTGGGTGCCCACTGCTGCCCTGGGCCAGGGGCAATCAGAAATGAGGTTTGCCTTTTGGCACCAGTGCTCTGCCCAGCTCTTCCCAAACTCCTCTGCTTTTCTCACCCATTTTCTCCTTCACCATTATGGGCACAAATAGGGCAACCAGCTTTTTCAGAGCCATGATCCTACCTGGGGATCTAGTTCTAGGCTCATTCTCAGCCCAGATCCCCCTTATGTGGCCATGGGCTGGCTGTGACGGGCAGCCCCCTGTTGTATCTCCCTTGGATGGAGGTTATTACTCGACTGTAAGGGCTGAACAGAGGTGCTGTTAGGAGACGCTGCCCAGTGCCGTGCAAATCCCTCCCCATAATGCTTGAAGAGCAGGTGATCTGCTGGGACTTCTAAGCCCCACCTTTGTTTTGCCTGTAGATCTGCATTCAGCAAGGGTGGAAGGCACCTCACGGGCGCTTTGATATCCTGCCTCTGCTCCTCCAAGCCAACGGCAATGATCCAGAACTCTTTGAAATCCCCCCGGAGCTCGTGCTGGAAGTGCCCATCCGGCATCCCAAGTAAGTCAGAGTAAGCCTGGAAGCTTCCTGGAGGGGACCAGCAAGACTCAGCTCCTCTGGTTTCACCCTAAGCCATTTCCTGTGCTTGGCCTTTCCTCGTTGAGGCTTGGGTGTTTTACCCAAGACCCTCTTCCAGGTCTTCCCTCCACCTTGGTGTAAAGCTGGCAGAGCCTGGAGGTGGAAACCAAGTTGTGTCCTTGCCTCAGGGCTGGTTTCTCTTTCCTTGAAGTCTCCCAGGACTTACACCACACTGTAATGCTCCTAATATATCTCTTTCTCCCCCTAAACAGCCCCTAGGGGAGATATTGCCTCCAGGAACCGTTCTGCTCATGTGTCCTTCACCCTGGTGCCTGGTAGCAAAGTAACCTCCTGCACATTGGGCAGGGGAGGTGTAGCTGATTGCCTAACCCTGTTGTATCCTGGCAGGTTCGAATGGTTTAAGGACCTGGGCCTGAAGTGGTATGGTCTGCCGGCAGTTTCCAACATGCTCCTCGAGATTGGGGGCTTGGAGTTTTCTGCCTGCCCCTTCAGCGGCTGGTACATGGGCACAGAGATTGGAGTCCGGGATTATTGCGACAACTCTCGCTACAACATACTGGAGGTAATTGCCCCTCCTTGAGGAGCCTAGGCACTCCTGGGGTGCAGCAGGGGTGTGTGTGAAGTTGCCGTGGAGCAGGCAGGACACTGGGAGAGTGTTGCCTTGGGTGGGAGAGCACAGGACACCCAAGTGTCCCTTAGAGAGAGTGGGTATGTTCTCCTGGAGCCACGTGGCCAAGGGTGTGATGGGCTGGCAAGGGTTTTTGTGTCCTGCGGGGCCAGCTGGTGTCTAACACAGTGCGTGTGATGCCTATTGAGCTTCCCAAGGACTTCTCAAAGCAGCTTATGGATCAGCAGGCACCTGGCCATATGCTTGACTGAGGTCAAGTCTGAAGGTGTAGTGGGGCTGAGTGGGTGCTGAGGCACTTGGTGACTGCTCAGGGGCATGCCTGCTCATGGGGACCCTCCAGGTGGCCCCTCTGGAGTGCCCTACTGTGGTTCAGGGGCTTCCCACACTGGGGACAGGGTGAGTTGGAGACAAAGCCAAGCCATGGGGAGGTGCTGGTGCAGAGGATCTGCACCCAACGAGGGTGGCTCCTTCGCCCTTCCAAGCGGCAACCGTGTTACTTGGCGGGGGGCTGCATCCCTCCCCAGTCACTTGAAAACCAGAGGGGTGAGAGCGAGTGTGTGCATGCACATGCCCACCTGTGACAGTGTCTGGGGGAAGGACTCCAGGTAGAAGAAATGGGCTGAGAAAGACCAGAGTTTGGGAGGACCAGGGGGTCTGGTGTGGGGAAAGGATGCAGGGTTCTCTTTCTCCCAGCACATGCATCACCACCACCTCCTGTTGTCCCACGGGCCCACCCATTTCCTCTCCTCCCACAAAGGGCAGCTGCTCTCCATGTTTTGATGGCCCTTTTCAGCAGCATTTAGTCATCACCCTGTGCCTGGGGGAGGAAGGGGGAGGCCAGACTGGCTTTGCTCCTGTCATGGAGAGGAAAAGGCAGGACCACATCTTCTCGGAGGAAGGCAAAACATCAGCCCTTCATTGCAAGTGTGCTGCCCTCCCCAAGCAGAGACCTTCAGTCCTTGGATCTTGGCCATTGAAAGCATTCACCTTCTACCATGTTTTGTTACAGCAAGTGGCCAAGAAAATGAATCTGGATATGAGGAAAACTTCATCACTGTGGAAGGACCAGGCCCTGGTGGAGATCAACATTGCTGTGCTGTACAGCTTCCAGGTACTTGAGGAGCCAGATTGTCATGTTTGGGTCAAGCTTGAGGGACACAAGTATTGGATTGGACAAGGATGGAGACATCTGCCCAAGGGCAATGGCAGCAGCTGATAGACTCAGCTGAAATTGTGCTGTGCCTTCCTGGGTCTGGGCTGTTCCAGGAGCCTGCAGTGCAATTTAATAATCTCTGTGCCTGGGTGTTGCAAAGGCATCACTACCAGCCATCTGAGCTCTGCTGGGCCAGGGGGATTGCACTGAGGGGGCAAGATTGGGCCCTTCTGTCCCATCTACGACACAAGAATTGGCCTATGTTCTCCCACTTGCACTTAAAGGTTGAGCAGCAAAACTAGTCCTTGGAGGACATCAGAGGGTGGAAGCTGGGATCCAGAGCTGGATCAGAACTGCTCCTTCAGTTGTGCAAGCCATGAAAGAATTCCCCAAGGGGCTGAGCAGGGGATGTTCCATCCCGTTCATACCATCTTAACCTTTGCTTGGCCCATGATAAGTAACAGGAGCAACAGCCATCCCATAGCACATCTACTCAGGAAGGTCAAGGGCAGCTTCTCAGCCCTGGAAAATGGCATTGTTCCTTGGGAAGACCAGGGTCGACAGCCACACGGTGTCACCTCCAAAGCTATAGTTCTGTAAGACCATGGGAGTGAGGCATATTCGGGTCAAACAGCTGCAAATGTAAAATTTTGGCTGTCACCTTCTGTGGAGTACTAACCCACAGTTGTTGGCTCTGCTCTCTTCTCCCTCCAACAGAGTGACAAGGTGACCATTGTGGATCACCACTCGGCCACCGAGTCCTTTATCAAGCACATGGAGAACGAGTACCGATGCCGTGGAGGCTGTCCTGCCGACTGGGTGTGGATTGTCCCACCAATGTCTGGCAGCATTACCCCAGTTTTCCATCAGGAAATGCTCAACTACCGTCTCACGCCCTCCTTTGAGTACCAGGTACTGCATGTGCCCTACCTTCCGCCAGTGCCCAAAGCTATAGCCAAGAGCAGGGTGGGAGCTTGGAGCTCAGAAGATGCAGGAAGGAGAGGGACACAACCTAATCCCTTCAATAAGCTGTGCCTCGAGGCAGAGAAGTCCATGAACAAATATAATTCATTATTTCCCCCCCAGTGTGGTGTAATAACCCCCTGGATGCTACACCTTTTCCCAGGGCAATGGCTTTTTGCCCTTTTGTGGGAACATGGAATATGTTGAGGCTCCAGCTTTTACCCTTGGAAGCAGAACTAAGCAGAGGTCCTCCCTTTGGCAGTGCCTAATTTTGCACTTTGCTGGGGAGGTGAGGAAATGACCTGGTAGTCACCATATCCCTCCTCCTTCCAGCCTGCAGCGTTGAGTGGATGCCTCCTGCCAGCCTGGGGATCCAACAGTTTGATGGAAGGGGGGACTCCTGCCCAAGCAGGCCAAGCAGGAGGCTGAAATGCTGGTGCTGGAGTATTTAACACTTCAGACCATGGGAAAAAGGGCCCTAAGCAAACACGCCCTCATTAGCCAACCATCCCTGCTCCGGTGGTTTTCACACAATGTGACCTTTAGTCAAGAGCCCTTAAGGAACAATCACAAACCAGGAGCAGTCTGTTCATTTCTATAACCAATCCACCAGGAACCCCCATGGTTCCTGGCCCTGATTACAGACAGCCGCCTGCGAGGGCACTGAATTAGCTTCTGTGCGCTTGTTCCTTGCTTCAGCTGCCTCCCCTTCCCAAAGGGCCTCTTAGGGAAAAAAAAAAACAAACCAAACTGTGGGCAGGGGAGGGGGAAGGATGTGTTTCCATCACCTCTCCCCTTTTGGCGTTGCCTGCCTTCTTTTTGCTTGTGATCTGTTAATGCCCATCTCAGAGGTGAGAAGGCATTTGGCCAGATGCTTGTTACAAGCCAGCAAGGTTTTATTATGTGCAATTTTTTTGTGCAACTTGCCCAACTGCCGCAAGAAACCCATGGGGCTCCAAGGATCAGGGGCCTATACCAGAGATCAGGAGGTGTGAAGAGGTCAGCTAGTCCTCCCCGTCGTGACTAGAGGACTTCAATGCTCAGTGCTGTGGATACGGCATTTCTCGAATCTCTGAGCACTGCCCATCAGCCACTGCTGCTCTTCTCTCTCCTAGCCGGACCCCTGGAACACCCACGTCTGGAAAGGGGTCAACGGGACGCCTACCAAGAAGAGGGCCATCGGCTTTAAGAAGTTAGCAAAGTAAGTAGCCGTGGGCTCTGAAAAGCCCTGGAGTGGTTGGGGCTGGTCCTGATTTTGGGCAGCTCTGTTTGCTGTGCTGTTTGATAGCGCTACCCTGTGGATGTAGGGTGCAAACTGATGGGTTGTGTGCCTGGATCTCAGGCCACTGAAGGCGTTAGCTGCCAAGAGGGATGTTTGGAAAAGCAGACAGTCCTCTGAACACCCCATTAGACCACCAAAAGGTGTGTGACCAGGTGAATACTGGCTGTTGCATATAGTCTCTTCTCCCCAGCTGGTTCATTCTCCAGTAAGGTGGTCTTCAATGCTCAGGAATGGCTCTCCCACTTCTTGGGGGTGCGTTGCCTGTTTCTGCTTTCACAGCCTCCTGGGGTAGAGAGCTCACTCATGACTCTTCAGGGCCATGCTGGCACAAGTGAGATGAAACCCGTGCCCATATTTCTCTTTCTCCCACCAACTCAAGGAGCACTTGTCTCCGGTGCATGTCTAAACCTCCAAACTCCCACTCTGCAAGGAGGCAAGAGATAGGAATGAGGAATCTCCCTACAGGTAGCAGATGGATCAGGGCTGAGCTGAGGTTTGTGCTTCGTGGCCAGTTGACCCCTAGTAATGGGCCACACGAGTCCTTCTCCCCTGCCAAAGTTCCAAGTCAGCAGGGGCGTAGGGATGAAGTGCAATCTGGCCCCTTTGGCTGCCCCTGGCCTGAATGCCTCCCCCGTGGGCCATTGGCAGAGACATTCTTGCAGGAGCTGCTGGCTCTGCGGTAGCAGAACCCTGGACCAAGACTGGGGAGAGCTGGGTCTGCTTTGGTATCCGCGGCCAGGCTGCCAGGTGGCCTTGTCCTGTTCACAGCATCTCCCCACGCTTCAGTTTCCCCGAGTCCCTACTATCAGTTTGTTCCTGCTCTTCAGCTGTCACCTTCTGGAGGCTGCTTGCCACGGTGCATCCATAAACGTGATCAGCAGCTGATGAATCTGCTCCTCAGGCTGACGCTGGTGCCTAGGTCTGGGCTGCAGCCCGGGGCTGGTGGAGAGCGCAGGAAGATTAATTGAGCCATTGAGTTAGAAGAAACAATGCTTTTATTTGTGTGCGCGCGATTGATAAACGATCGTATAAAAATGTGAGCATGGCAGGTAATTTTAAAAAAAAAAATCCCCATTGTTCCCGATGTAGCGGGGAGGAATTATTTTTGTGATTCGCCATTAATCCTGCCGGGATCCAAGCTAATCGGCTGAACAAGTGGCGGACTGAGCCCAGCAGTCCTGAGGGTTGCGCCTGGCACTGGTCGCTGCATGCTCTTGCTGCCGGTGCAGACAGGCTGGGCTAGTTCTGGCCAGACCAGCGCATTCCAACCTGCGGTCCCTGCCCAACCTGCCCCTTCCCTCCCCTGGGGTTGGTGTAAGGGGCCAGGGGACACTGCCACCGTGGGAAAGCAAAGGGGCAACTTTAATACACAGAGCTATACTGAGGAGCGATTGCATGGCAGCAAATACAAATGCTCCTGAGGCTGACATCAACGTGGAGGGGAGCTGCCCATGGAGGGGAGCTGCCTGGACATACCAGCGGCCTGGGGTTTCTACCTCTTCTTCTCTCCCCTTTTTTTCCCCTCCAAGCGATTTTCCAAACCTAGAGCATTTCTTCCCTCCTTGGCAGGAGGGGCAGGGGAAGCTGGGCTTCTCTTCTGCCGGTGTAACCAGCCCAGCTGCAATCTCCATTCCCAGTAGCTCATCTGAAGGGGACGCAGGAGCCCTGTTGAGCTTGATCACCCAGGGCAGGGGCTGAGCACCCTGTCAAAGTGAATCCAGCAGCCCTTATGCTTGCAAAAGCCACAGGGATGCTTTGTGGTCTCTCAGCCCCCTGAAAACTGCTCCTTCCCTATTGTAACACACCAGGCTAAATCCAGACCTGCCTTTCTGGTGGCCCCATTCAAAGGCTTGATGGTCCATTCAGAAAAGGTGAAGATGTTCTGCACTTAGGAAAAATAATGTTGATGTCCAAATTCTGTGATTATGAACGGTCCTAAAATAGTGAACTCGTCACACTGGGCTTGGTGCCCCACCGTGCAACCCAAAGCTGGCTGGTGATGGCCTCCCTTGCCCCCCATCGCTGCCCTCCCACAGCTGCCAACCCATCCAGCAGTGTTAGCATGGATAAGGAGCCGGTGTTTCTAGTGCTGCATCACCTTGGCCGGGATTAGAGAGGCTGGTGACCTCTCAGGGCCCCTTTGCGCTGCTGTCAGAACTGAGCCGGTGGGGAAAAACCAGAACAAATGCATCCAGTCACGACTGCAGCCACAGGAGGCAGCCGGCTAGACAGAGCCCTGAGAAGGCTCAGATAAATGTGCAACCTCTCAGCCTCAGGAGGGCTGCTCCTCTGAGCAAAGTTCATGGTGTCGCTGGAGTGCAAATCAAAGGGACCACAGCCGGCCTCGGCTGACCTTCTCAGCATCTCAGGGCTTTGTGTGTGATATGTGGAGCCCGGGCGCTTCTGCTCGGGGAGGACACCTCCCACAGAAAGGCAGCCAGGTAACATTTAAAGACACAAAGAGATGGAGAAGCCACTGTTGCTCCCATAGCTTGGGCTCTGGTTGGTCTCCAGCTTTTCCTTTGAGGTTATCTGGTTGCAGCTTTGCAGCTGCCCCTGATTCTTCTTCTGCTTCTCTCTCCTTGCAGAAAGAGCACCTCCGCAACCTGTTAGCGTTTTCCTCCTTAGGGGGCCTATAGGAAAGATGGGGACAATCTTTTTAATAGGGACAGCTGTGACAGGGCAAGGGGTAATGGTTTTAAACTGTAGGTTTAGACTGGCTATAAGGAAGAAATTCTTCACAATGAGGGTGGTGAAACACTGGAAGGGGTTGCCCAGAGAGGGGGTGGAGGCCCCATCCCTGGGAACATTCCAGGCCAGGTTGGATGGGGCTGTGAGCAACCTGATCTGGTTAAAGGTGTCCCTGCTCGCTGCAGGGGGGTTGGACTGGATGGCCTCTAAAGGTTCCTTCCAACCCAAAACATTCTATGATTCTACTCTATGATTATACCCATTCAGGTATTTTAGCTCTGTGTTCAAGCTCCCCCATCCAGCCTTCCTCTCTCACAAGTTAAGATGAACGTGTTCTTCCATAGCTTCCCTGTTTGGAAGGGAACAACAAAAAAACACAATGCTGCAAATTTATAAGGCAGGCTGTTCGTTTCTTAAGAAATAGAATCGTGTGAATAGTCTGGGCTAGAGGGACTGACAAGGAAGCAAGCTCTCTTACCAGGATTTATTCTTGCTTCCTAGAGCTGTGAAGTTCTCGGCCAAGCTGATGGGACAGGCCATGGCCAAAAGGGTCAAAGCGACCATCCTGTATGCCACTGAAACAGGGAAGTCGCAGGTCTATGCAAAAACTCTCTGCGAAATCTTCAAGCATGCCTTCGATGCCAAGGTATTGTACTAGCTCCCAGCCCCTGCAAGATTCCATGTGCATCTGGGTGGCCCAAGGACATCCATGGCTGCTGGAAAATACACGTGAATCTTCCCAGCTGCTAAGGTTCTTCAGAAGCTCCCAGGATGTGACCTTGGAGCTCTGGATGGAAGCCTGCACTTGAATAGCATTCCTAGCTATGCTCCTGCAGGCGTTGTGGCATACATTTGTCTTCTGCCTCTCAGGTGGTAGCCCCACGGTTTGTCTGTGTCCCTTCTCATCCTCCCTGTGCAGAGATCTCTGCCAGTGTGCTGGCAGGGAGTCAGCAAGGAGATGCTGCTCCTACCCCCGGGGTGGGCTGGGGTCCATCCCAGGAGACTGGCTGGTGGCAGAGCTCCCCACCGAGGGCCCCTTGCTAACACCTCTGTTGCTCTCAGGTGATGTCCATGGACGAGTACGACATCGTGCACCTAGAGCATGAAACCATGGTCCTGGTGGTCACAAGCACATTTGGCAATGGAGACCCACCTGAGAATGGAGAGGTAGGGCAGAACACAGGGACGGGTGACCACGGCAGGGACACGGGCAGAAGAGAGGTGGTGGGGAACATGGAAAACCATCCTCCTTTTGCTCAGCCTGAGCTGGAAATGCCCCAAACAGGTCCAGGGTCTGTGTGATACCTGGTGCTGTGCCTGCCTGCCTCCAGCCTGCTCTGAAATAGGGAGATCTACTTATTCCCTGCTGCAAGACAAGTAACTAATCTGTTGCTAAATTCATCCTCTACAACTGATGTTGGTGTCACGCAGAAGGTGCCAGCCCCTTGGCTGGGGAGCCACGGCCTCATCCAGCCCTGTACAACAGCGTTGCAGGCTGCTGGGAAGAGCAAGCAAAGAGCAGAGCTGCAATCCAGGCTTCGGTCACGGCTTCGTTTCCTGCAGCGACAGGCAAACCTGATGGCTTCTTTTTATTTCTTCCCCATAGAAATTTGGCTGCGCGTTAATGGAGATGAAGAATCCCAACTCCAACCTGGAGGAGAGGAAGTAAGAGCAGGACCAGCCTCCCCTCCCCCCCACACTTCTCACTCACAACCCCAGCAAGCAGGCAGCCCCGCAGCCGGGAGAACCTGCTTCTCTGCTTTCCTCCTCTCAGAAGGGAGTGGGGAAATCCTCACCCAGGTTTCAAGTTTGCAAAGGTCCAAGGGATGGGATCTGCCTGGAGAAGCAGGGGATGGAGCGGGTGGAGGTTCCAGAGAGGACGAAAGCACTCAGTCAGGCATGTGGACTCCAGCTTGCAGTTCCCTGGGCTGGCATTTTAAAGCTTCTCTCTTCAGCTGTAAGAGGCTGGCATCTATGAAAAAAACAAACAACCAAAACCAAATAAAAGCAGGATTTCCCCCAAAATTATCCAATCTGAGAGCTGGGGCTGTCCAGGAGACACCAAAATAGTAAGACTTGGAGGTAGAAGGGAGTTCCCAGCTATGTGGTTGTAGGTGGGGAAGGGCTTGAGAATCAAATTTAACTTCTTGCATCATGTGAAAATATTTCTAGGGAAAATAAGAGCTGTTATAAATTCTGGCTGTGATGTCTGTAACAGTGAGTCTGGAACTGGTAGCTTGGAGACAGGGGCTGGGGTTTCAGAACATCCCCTGTTGGTGGAAGATGAACCTCGAGCATCTCGGTGCACGTCCCAGAGGCTGGGAAGTGAGGGCAGTCGGCAAAGCGTTAATCATTTGGGACCTCCTCTTATTTTAGCTATTAAGTACAATATATATTTTGCTTAACTGGGATGCTGCGCTGGAGTCTCTCCTGAGTTAACACAGCGATGCTCGCAACTGGCAAAAGGCTGCTCATTAATTAAGGCGGAATTAGCACTGACCCATGATGCAGCGCAATTTAACCACCCTGACTTTCTGCCTGAGCAGCACAGAGCTGTGCCAGCGGGGCTGCAGAGCGGCGGACGAGCACTGCTGGGCAGGGCAGGGACTGATTTGTACCTCCCTGGGACCTCCACCCACTCCATTCCCTGCTTCCGAACCTCCCTGCTGCTGGGGACACAGCAGCCACAAAGTGGTCTCCTTGCTGTGCAGCCAAAGCATCTCTGATGGATCCCCCCGCAGGGCTTGCCAGTCAAAAACCCATTAGGTTTCTAATGGCCTCATGCCTTATTGGGGACAGATGACAAAACGGGACGTGCAGGCTCCCCTGGAGGTGTCTGGATGGAGAAGGGCCATTTCACACATGGTTCTTACCCCAGGGATCTTCACTTCTTGGGGCTGGGTTGGTGCAATGTTGGGTTGGGTGCAGAGGTGCCACCTGTGGCAAGCCAGGTGGATTTGAGGAGGACAAAAACTCATCACTGAGCTTGATGCTGTCCCAGTCACCTCTGAATGTAATTTAAGGGACTGGCAGGAGTTTCTAAGAGCCAGGACAGTCTGTGGCTTGGTTACCTGACAGCAAAAGCGGTCAGAGGGCTGGAAACAGCGACCTGCGAGGACAGATCAAAAGGGTGAGAGCTATTTTATCTGGAGAAGAGGAGACAGAAATGCAGTGCGGTAGCAAGACTTCACATACAGAAGAGGTGACTGCAGAGGCGGAGGGAATAAATTACTCCCTGTCACCCTCCCCGGGACAGGCCAAGAGGTCATGGCTCTGGAGGGTAGAAAGAGATGCTGATGTTAAGCATGAAAAAAAGCTTTTGCGATGAGAAAAGATGGCCTGGAGGAGACCATCTGGGGAAGAAGAACAGCATCAGCCTGGTGTCTGTAGGAAAGGGCTGGATAGAACAGCTCCTGCCCATGCACCCCCTGGACCCCCAGCTCCATGGCCACCAGGAGATGCTGAGGGTGGCCAAGGCTCTGCAGGGTGGAGATCAGTGGTCTCTCTAAGCCACGGAGTCTTGAGGAGCCTGCCAGGGTGCTGCAGCTGTAGCTCTCTGACCACAGCCCAGGGGTTTTGCTGTGGTTGTATATTTGGTTCCTTCTGTCTGACAGCAAGGGTTTTCCAAGGGTTTTGAGGCGTTCGTAAGCCGTTCCTATTTAAGGACCTGCTGTTCAAATGCAGCCCAACCTTCAACAGTCATCCCCTGCCACAAGGACCTATTAATTTCGGCAAAAGCTGCTGGTGTCCTGACCTTGGGCCCAGCACCCAAATGGGGAACGTAGGCTTCATGCCCATCTAAACTGGTGGGCTGTGCTGCCCTGCCTTCACCATGTAACCCGGGGTGAGGACACAGCCCAGGGACAGCAGGAGAAAGAAGTGGGTCCATCCAGCTGGAGCGAAGCAGAATAGCATGAGAGGTCTGGGAAGAAAGGGTGAGGCTCCAGAGCAGAGGTGGAGCCCAGGGCTCTATGACCCTGGCAGTTTATTTTGCTTGGGAGCCATCTCCTCTGTGTGGTGTGCTGGGTGCAGGAGGTCTGCTGTGACTCATCCACACACTACTGCTTCAGTGCTCTGGCGGTATATTTAGAAACTCTTGTGTAGAGCAATTTTTGAAGATGGTTCAATTCAGAAATACTTCTGCTGTTGTCAGATTTTTTTCTCCACTCCCCTTCCCCCTCCTCGTCCCCTCTTCTCACTCCTCTTTTTTTTTTTTTCCCCTCCCCCTACTTCCTATGAATGCAAAAACCTTCAGAATATCTGTTCAGACACATACCCGACCTTGTGTGCAACCAGGGGGAGGACAGGTAATGCCAAAGGTCCGCTCAGCTCTGCACCGCTGGGGACAATGCAGTGGCCAACACCTGGGTCAACCCACTGGGAGGTGACGGGAGGACCCCATGGAGCAGACCAGGTCCAGCTGGGGGGATGCAATGTAGGGGCTGCTATGGCATACCCCCGGGGAGGGGAGCACATTTCTCTGCTCTAGCCACCAATCATGGTGCCTGCTTGTGAAATATTGAGCCCTGAGCTTGAGCGTGCCCTGGGTAGGTCTCCTCCACAATCCGGTCCTCTCTGAGCACACAGCCTGGTGGGAACCACACGCACATTTATCACCACTGTCATACCTGATGTTGCTGTTTGCAGGAGCTACAAGGTCCGTTTCAATAGCGTCTCCTCTTATTCGGATGCACGGAAATCCTCAAGCGATGGCCCTGACTCCAGGGACAACTTTGAAAGCACAGGACCCCTGGCTAATGTCAGGTAAATAGGACGGGGTGGGGGGCAGCAATTTCTTGGGACAGAGCTGGAGCTGGTGCTGCACAGAGCCTCCTTCTCCTGCCGCAGCTCTTACCTAGCACATGATATATTTTTGCAACATGCAAATCCCTCCACGGTCCCTCATGCTGATGTTGGCCATGGTGGTGCGGGAGGGGGAGACATTGGTGTCCCTCCCAGCTCAGCAGCCACAGCTATGTCACCTCTCCGCAGGTTCTCCGTGTTTGGGCTGGGGTCACGTGCTTACCCCCATTTCTGCGCCTTCGCCCGGGCCGTGGACACTCTCCTGGAGGAGCTGGGTGGAGAGCGGATCCTCCGCATGGGAGAAGGGGATGAGCTCTGTGGCCAAGAGGAGTCCTTCAGAACCTGGGCCAAGAAGGTCTTCAAGGTAACCCGCTTCCCTTGTGATCCAGGGAGGAGCAAGGGGTAGAAGGACACAGGGACAGAGCAAATCTGCTGGTTAGAGCTGAACTGAAACCCAGCCTCTCCTTCCCT